GGTAAGCTTAAGTTTTGTTTTTTTAGGCTATGACCATTCATTCTGAATCGTTTTTCAGTTTCCTTACAAAAGAACTCAGGGCACTGGAGACATCTCAGCCTAATGGCCTCCCAACTGATCATTTTAATACTTTTCAATATGAAAATTTTAAATATGAAAAGTACACAGATGGTTCTTAATGAACTCCCATGTACCTATAACTGAGCTTCTCCAATATTCAAAATGTGGCTAAAATCTATACATGAACCCACTGTTTCCACTGGGTTATTTTGAAGCAAATCCCAGTTGTTACATCATTTCATTTTAAGCTACTTTAGTATGTGTCTCTCAAGAGACTCTCTTCAACTAAATTCTTTAATGATCATTCCGTAATAGTAAGATTTTAAAACTGGAAGGTACCTTAGAGATTCTTAATTAGTTGTAGCTAAGAATGTTATTAATATTAACATCAAGTACTTTCACATACATATTCTCATTTTGTTACAATATCCTTGTGAAATAAGTATTATCCTTATGTCACAAATGAGACTCAGAAAGGATTTGAGAAAGGATGTGACTTTCCAGAGTCTTACAGCCACATATTGACATTGTCAGAACTAAGCACCGAAAGTTAAAAAATCAAGTATATTAATCTTATTTAGAAGGCAAATTCTGAGTAGACCTTTGATAATCAACACTCTTAAAAACATTCTATTATTTAACATTATAGTATGTGATAGTTTTGTTTGTTTTTTTAAAGAGAGGTTTGATTTTATTTTGCTTCCTTAAATTGTTAAAAGTCTGAATTGATTGCCTTCAATATCATATCATTATGTGTGTAATATCATTAAATCCTTTATAGTAAGTACTTGTAAAATACATTATTGAATTCAAAAGAACCATGTTGGGGAAGACTATCCACTTTTTTTTTTTTTTTAAAGATGACCGGTAAGAGGATCTTAACCCTTGACTTGGTGTTGTCAGTAACATGCTCACCTAGTGAGCAAACCGGCCATCCCTATATGGGATCCGAACCCGTGGCCTTGGTGTTATCAGCACCTCACTCTCCCGAGTGAGCCACAGGCCGGCCCTATCCACTTTTGATTAAATAAAAACCAGGCCAATCAAGGCCGGCCGGGTGGCGCACTGCTACAGTGCGCCGCTTGGGAGTGCAGCAGTGCTCCCGCCGAGGGTTCAGNACACTGAGGGTTGCGGTCCGTTGCCGGACATGAAAAAAGACAAAAAGGAAAAAAAAAAAACCAGCCCAGGCACACCTTACTTATCTACTTGTGGAACAGACCTGTTTCTGCACGGATAGCTTCCAAGTAAACTCCTATGACGCACATCTCATTTTCAAGTTAGAGCCCATTTTACTTTCTAACTACTGTAGTACCCACTTCAGAGCTCTGTGTCTAGTGAGTGCTACATATTTGTTGACAGACCATGAGATTTTCTGATTGACTTCCACAAAAACCTGGAGATGGGGGTTTGGCCAGAGAGACTGGAGGCAGAGGCCAGCCACCACCAAACCCTCACCATTCTCTTGCCTGCTGTAAGCACCTGTGACACCCCTGTCCCTCATAAGAAACTGGCAGGGGGGAGAATAAAAGGGAGGCTATCAACATTAGCCATTAGCTTCAGGATAACCACTTGAGGGTTTCCTGATCTGGAAGAATTAGCAATAAAGCGGAAATTTTAAGTCTGACAGTAGGCCTGCCTTCTGGTTGGCTCCCCGCCTACCTGGAGAGTCAGAGAGTTAAGGGATTCAGTCAAGTAGTGTACCCACCATACTTTTTATTTATTTATTTATTTATTTTGGATGCTGGCCAGTATAGGGATCCAAACTTTACCATGGTTAGCTCTAACCAACTGAGCTAACTGGCCAGCACCTATCCATACTTTTTAAATTGCACTTTTTTTTTTTTTCCTTTTTTGTCTTTTTTCGGGACCGGCAACGGATCGCAACCCTCAGTGTCGCGCCCATACCGGA